GGGTGAATTAATTTTTTTGTTTTGTGTCTTTTTTGGTTTAATTTTTGTAATACACATCTCATTTTGTAAATGCTTTAAAAAATATTTGGTTAATTAGAGCTATCTATAAATTTGTATAAAATTTTTAATAACTTATTGTATTATAAATACTCTATATTTTAAATTTCGATAGAATTCGTTGGCAAACCCCCCTCGAGCACAGCTCGTTATTGCTGCTAGAGAGAGGAATGGCAGAATATTTCCCAAGAACATCTGTTCTTGTTAACAGCATGTAGCAACTTCTTCAAAAGTATATTGATGCCAGAGGAGGCAATAGTCTATATTAGCAATCATTTTTGGGTGTCATTTGATGAACCTCACATACGCAGTTTTGTTTCAAAATATTTGATATTGTTTACAATTACTTTAAAAGTAAGTAGAGTACACAAACAATGAGTATGCTGAACACAACCTTGCGCTTGAGGAAGCCAAAGTCAAGTACACCACTATATCCCCACCTCTCACTTACTCTCTATATTTCGGACTCTTCCCTGCACTCACGTTTTTCAAGGCCAAATAGAAATGATTGAAATTGAAGGGCAACCGGAACCTGACAACGAGAAACCACAAGAAGAAAATGGTAAGGTTACAATATTATTCACAGTCCTTATCCATAAACAGCCATTGACATGTTTATATATTTGGTAAAAAGGGACACATCTACTTCAATTAGTGATCGTTTTAATGTGTCAATCTCATGTGAATGGAGTAGCTGCTCTCCAATGGTAAATTTAGTTACCCGGTTGTTACCTCATTATACAAGGTGGCGCAAAATTAATCACTCTATCGGAAGATGTTATTATTATTGCAAATGATGTCGTACGTCAATCATATTTGACATTTGTGAACTACACAGCTGCAGAATACAAACAGACAAGCAATGGAGCGCTATAAACCGCAAAAGCTTGGAATAATGTCCATTTTTTTGACCAATAATCGGTCGGTGGTGTTATCGCAGCGTGAATTTCGACGTCGATTTCCTAATCGTGTCACGCCACCAGAGCAAACATTCCGCTGCTTAGCTGCTCGACTCGAACAGACTGGAACCACAAGAGACCTTGCAGGGCGCGGCCGCCACCGGACTGGTCGTTCTGCCGAGAATATCGCGGCTGTGGCTGCCGATGTCGCTGAGAACGAAGAAACATCAACCAAACGACGGGCCACACAATTGGGCATCACCAGACAGACCCTACAGCGAATTTTAGTGAAAGACTTACACATGTTCCCGTACAAAATGCAAACAGTGCAACAGTTAATGCCTGCTGACCGTCAGTCGCGTGTGAATTACTGTCAAGCCATCCTCAATCTCGACAAAGAAGAGGACGATTTTGAGTCGAAAATCATCATGAGCGACAAGGCGCATTTCCATTTAAGCGGTTACGTCAATAAACAAAATCTCCGTTTCTGGGGCACTGAAAATCTGCGTGTCATGCACGAAGAGCCATTACATCCACTCAAAGCCACTGTGTGGTGCGCCGTTCACGCAGGAGGGGTGATTGGGCCGTATTTTTTTGAGGACGCCATTGGCAATACGGAAACTGTTACAGGGCCATGATAAACGACTTCTTACTGTCGGAATTGGAGGAGCGGGGCTTGGTGAACATGTGGTTTCAACAAGACGGTGCAACCGCACACATAACACGAGCCACAATGGATATTGTGAAGGAAGCCTTTCCTGGTCGCGTAATCTCCCCTTTTGGCAATTATCCATCCAGGCCGACGGAAAATTACTACACCTCAAGAAGAAGAGGCAATTATTCAGACAGTGTCTGAAAATCCATTTACGTCATCAGTAAAAATTCGGGAGACGTTAGGATTCAGAGTGGGTCTGCATATTATTCGAAACCGATTAAAAAAAGAAAATTTTAAAAGTCGACGTCCTGCAAAAAAGCCTTTAATAACACCGGCACACGCAGCACAGAGGCTTGAATTTTGCAGGGAAAATCAAAATCGGAATTGGACCAATGTATTTTTCTCTGATGAAAAAACATTTTCGTCAAGTCAAGACGCACCTTTGATATTATGGAGGAAGAATGGAACACGGTACGCACCACAACATGTCCTTGACAACAGAAGAAGTGGGAGAATAAGAGTAAATTAGAAATGCGTGGAAAATATAATGAAGAAAAATTGGCTGTAATGAGGTGAAAGCTGAAAGTTCGCAAACTATAGCCAATGCATTTGTTTTGACAGTTGTAGCTGTAATTGTTTATTGTTTTTCTTTAAATTCCTTAAAATATAATTTTGATATTTATTTATTACTTAGTTTATTCTTATTTAATTAACATAAAGTTTAAAAAAGTTTAAAAAGAAAAAGGCTTGAATAATAATCAATGCTAGAATCAAACAAATATTGTCCATAACGTACGAGTAAGACCAAATTGATCATAAAAAAATTTACAGGCGTTTTTTGCAGGAAAATGGTTTGATTTTTTTCACTTACTTAATTATTTTGAAACCTCGCTTTAATTAAATACATAAACGTAACTTTCTTTTTTGCATTCTTTAGCGTTCATTTTTACCTGACGTGTGCCGCTGTCTGTGAAATAAAAGTAAACAAGTTTGTTGTTTTTGCAGCCTGCATAAAATTAAATATTTTTATTTACAAACAAAGCAAACATTAACATAAAATGCATCCATGAAATTTATTACATTCATTTGAAACACTTTATCTTTTTTAATCATTTTATCAGTAGATATCAATTTTGCATATATGCACTTTAAAAACAGTTTTGAATCACATGATTTTTATCAGTTTTGTAAATTAATATGTAGTGTTATATTGTAAAAAATTTATCCAAACTAAGGGTAAGTATAAATTTAAATCTTAAATCAAAGAGGGTCTTAAAACTTTATCGTAAAAAAGTAAGATTTAAAAAAAATCAAAAAAAGAACTTTAAACCGGTTACCTTGACGCTACAAAAAAATAAAAAAGTGGTTGATGGCGGGATGCATTCAAGTTTAATCAATAAGTAACCTTGTCTTTAGCATTAGCCTTGTGAGCAAGGGTGGGAAAAAGTATGTAAACACAGAACAAACGGCTTTAGCTTGTTGTGTGATCAGTACAATCATGTGTTCTCGTTACTTTAGTAAATTTAAAGGTTGCGATTCCTGTGACCATGGTGATGGGTGCATTAAGTGTCCAGGTCCCTCAACTAGGACATCTGTGAGTACGCAATCACCACCACGTTTGTTGTATCAATTATTGATGAGAGAAATTACAAATCTCTATAAAGAACAAATTACTGTTTTTAATAGGGATGAACCAAAAATCAACATCGTTTCAAATATTCTAATTAGGCCTTGTAATGAAGTTGTGGATAATGCAAAATTTATTCAAAATGATGATTCTCTTTCACAATTTGAGACAAATTCAGTACCATCTTTGACGCAAGTTTTGAGGGAGGATTGTACCGAATCTTTTTTTACAAATAATGTTTCCATGTTTAGTCATCTAAGTCAAATAGAGCAGCATTTGGCTAGTCACGCTGCTGCAAATCAAATTATGGATGTGAATAATGATGATGATTTTATGGATGATTCTCCAATACAATTTGATAATACATCATTACCAGCTTTAGTCCAATTTTTGGGTGAAGATGTTAATGAGAGTAATTTTTCATTATGTCTGATAGAGCGGTATGTGGCTGATGACACTGCTGCAAATCAAATTGTAGATGGAGACATTTCTCKTATCAATGATAATAATTTAAACCGATTAAATGGACTTGACAACAATGAAAATATGTTGGTGACACACTATTCTCCAATCACTCCTGTGTCACCACCAACTCCATTACCTACACAACTCCCAGTCAACCCATCAAAACTATCGTCATCATCAAATACGCAATATGATATGACGCTTTCGGAG